AGGAGGAGAGTATTGAATTAGCAGAAGATAAATTATTAGAAATTATTATTGCAGAATATTATTTGTCAGATGAAAAGAATTACAAACATCATTCAGAATCAGTCTATACAAGTCGTTCACTAAATGAGTTAATTCAGCAAACTAAATCATCAAATCTTTTGTCAATGGAATCAGTCTAGCAGTATTATATTTTTAGCTATAATTTTTCATTTATATCAATAGAATATTTTTTAAAGGAATTAAGAATTTATATTATTATATATATATATGAATTCAAAGTTGAATTTTTTAAAAATAAAAAATTTGTCAAAATAATATTTTTGTTGAAAGAAAAATGCTTAATTTACATATAAACTATATATGGGGATGGTGGGAGTATTTCTTCAAACATGATGAATTTCAAAACTTGGAATGATCCACATGCATGGCTTTACCTATACAATTCATGCAAACATTTCTGACCCCCATCATGGAAAAAGCATTGTACAATTTGGTCATGAAGTATCAGATTACACCATTGTAACCATCAAATGGAGAACTGTGCTCTAAAGGTTCCCTCAACCACTATCTGACAAAACCCAACCTGTCAAGATTCATCTATCATCATGTAAAGTAAGAAAGCAAGATGTTATCTCATACCATCCCAAGATGCTGTTGATATAGAATGGCCACTTAAAATTTTCAATATGTGACATTCACAGGACTTATGAAATATGTCATGAAATACAGACAATTACTGAAAACATATCATGGTGATAAGGCTAGGTTCAATGGAATTGATGATACTTTTGCTCTAGTACCCAATAACTAGATGTTCCACTAACTTCCCTTCTGCACAAATACCATCTAAGATCTGTGAAACTGATGCAGTAGGGAGAAAATGTATCTTCTGGCACACTTTTTTGCTCCCCCGCATTGTACTTTTTGATTTATTAGCTCCAAATTTAATTCTGAGCAATTCTAGATTACTTAAAAAAATTTGATGTATGATTAAATTGCATTTGTGTCATATACAGAGAAAGTCAACCTTTACAAGTTATAACTCAGCAATATTTTGCACTCTTACTGGCGAATTTGATGGAGATCTTGTTTTCCAAAAGCTTTAATGATATATTACTGGACTGGTTGAGCAATATTGTATGTCATTACGTCCATATTTTGCATTAACCACGTTTACAATGAATTAAAAATCAAGGAATTAGAAATATATCAAATGATAACAAATATAAAGTATACATAAATATTTTTATTGCCTTATTATAATGTAATATTATACAAGTATTGAAGAGTATAATGCTTGACAAGCAAGGCAATTTTCAAAATAACTAACTACATTTTGGATTATCTGCTTCTTTCAATAATTCATTTGATTCATTAATTGTTCCTTGAACTCATCTAACAAATTAGAAGATAAATATTAAAACATCTCACCATACATTCAATGGGTAAACATTGGTTTCCTATAAAGATGTTCTAAATAATGTTAAACCATTATTTTCTAAGAAGGGGTAAAATTAACATTATTATTAAGAATCTATTTTTAAAAAAAATTATGCAACAAAAATGAATAAATGAAAGGCTTTTTGGACGGAAAAAAAAGGATGGATTTCTTTCACAAGCTGTTTTTGATGCAGGTCTGCCTCCTCTAAAAATAGAGGATCCATTTATTAAATTTTGTCAGAACTTATGTCCTGCATATGTTATCATATAAGAAAAGTTTGTTAAGTGACAAAATTGCTTATATCATATAATGGTAATTATTTGGTAATTAACACGATTTGTATGTAATCGTTCCATCTCTCAAAATAATTTGATCACCAATAAATTGTGTTACGTTCGCTTTGTGTAATAATAACTTTTTCTCTGAAGAGATATATACAACCAGCACCAATAATCTTTTTGACTAAAAAAAGTTACGCGTTTTTCTACCTTCTAATAAAAAAATAAAAAATAATGTCAACGATAAGCGTTGACAATATTTCAATCATAGTTAATACTGTAAAGCTATATTACGATTCTGAGCAAACTTGTCAAGCTACTACAACTGCTACTACATTAGGAATTTTGGCTAAATGGTTAGAAACAACAAGAAACATTTCTGTTACCACTGATAATCTATATAATATTCTGCAAGTTCATTCGGAGGAATTCATGTTGGGTAAAGCTGCTGGTGGCACTGATAACATTATAGTTGAATTGAAAAACGCTAGTAATAAAACAAGCACTTATACTATTACTAATGGTAATGGTAGTAATAATAATAGCAGTACACAATTTGACAGTAGATTTAAAGATTTAATAAATTTTAATATTAATGATGATGATGAAGAGGATGAGGATGAGGACGATTCTAATGACATACAATATTTTGATATTCAAATAAATCAAGATCAGTTAAAAAAAGAATTTCAAAAACATCAACAACAAAAAAATTATCAAAATGATAATAATAATAATCATTACCAACAAAGATTTTTAAATGAAACAACATCAAAAATAAATAAAAAAGATAATGAAACTATATCAGTGGCAAAAATTTATTTAGATAAACATTTGGTTGATTCTACTTTTGAATTAGAGAAACATCTAAAGAATGTTGGTGTCCTGGATGCATCAAGAAATTTCAATGATTTTTTAAACGAACATGAAGATACTTTTTCTGTTTACAAACAACGAGGCGTTAACTGTGTTCAGCTCAAAAATCCCAAAAGAAATTTCGTCAATAATAAAAGTATTAAGACAATGATTGATGTTAGACAGGAACAAACTGAAAAATATATTAGAGATTACATTCAACAAAACGGCACATCAGATAATCACGTCATGTGCACTGAACTGGTTATATACCTTAGGGGCATCAAAGGAACAATCACCTACGACTTTAAAGATTTTCTCAAAAGCTGTTCTGATTCATTTGAATATTATGAAAGTGACGGCACCTTTTATATAAAAAATAAATCGAAAGCATCTTCACAACTAGTCAACCCAAATGTTTATCATAGTCAATACAGATCAAGCAGTCCTTTTGTCTCCAGATTAATTCGTGATTTGATTGTGAAAGAATACATAGTCACCTACACAGAACTCGAAGAATATGTAAAGAAGTATTCGCAGCTACCACAAACAAATCTAAAAGAATTATTATACTGCAATGATAAAGAGTTCAACATATCACAAATTTCTGGTGAGACTTATATAACCCTTAAAGCTACTGACAGAAACATATTATTTCATATTCGTAGATTCCTTTTGGAACACGGAAGAGCAAGATTGTCACTGGTTGATGACTATTTGAAACGTATGGATCTTTCACCAAAAGTCGAACTAACAGAATTCATGCCAATATATTCAGACTTCAAATTCGATTATGAGTCTGAAGTTCCATTTGTCAAATCACAAGAAGTTGAAATCATTAGAGAAATTCGTGAGCTGTTTAGTAGTAGTAAAAATGTTGATGATAAAAAAGAGCTTAAACTCACAGTTATTACAGATCACCTTCATAAGAAAAAGATGTTACCAAACAGTAGACTGTTGAATCTTTTAGAAACCTATACAGAATTTGATTTCTATCGAAGTCCAGTTGACATTGTTGTGATACATAATCCAAATAATTCTATTCCTGATCTAAAATCTTTCATTAATAAAATGATAACATTTAAAAATGGAAAAATTTCATTGTCGAAATTGAATAGTATTTTGAATTGGAAAGGGGATTATTCAGAAAATAGATTGTCTGACTTTATTGATCAAAGTGACGATTTTGCACATTCTAGTATCTTCAAAGGAAGATATAATGAAATAATTGTATGTTTTAAATCAACTGATGTTGTTGATGTTGATGATGAAGGTGTGGAGGAGGAAGGGATTGGTTTTATTAGTTCAACTTGTAAATTACCTCCAGAAATAAAACCCAATGATCAACAAAATAGGAATTATAGTTATAATTCAAACACAGAGAAAATTAAACCTAAAACGGTACAATCAGCATCAACAACACCTACATTAGAATTGTCGTTGTCATCATCGTTACAAGTATCAAATTCAGTAACATCATCAAATGTGGCAGAAAACTATCAAACCAATTTTTTTAATCATAATAACAATAATCCAGAGGATGCTGCTACTACTAATATTGTCAATAATAACAACATTAACAACAACAACAACAACAACAACAACAACAACAACAACAACAACAACAAAGACATTCTAACATCAATGCCAAATGTTGCAATAAAAACTAATGGAGCCAACTATTCAATAAATCCAAATGACATGCCTTTGACAACAACAACAGCATCATCGTCCATGACAAATCTCAAAACATTAACAATACAGTCTAAATCTGAAACACAACCGCCATCACTGCCATCAACAACAACAACTTCATCTTCTACTATTAAAATTCTAACAAATGATTCCTTAAATTCAACCACCAAAACCATTAATAATAATAACACCACATACACCAATGGAATTAATGGTACTACTACTTACACAAATGGTACTCTCACTAACGGCGCTACTACCAATTGTGGTATTAATGATAATAAGATGATAACATTCACATCATCTCCATCATCATCATCATCATCATCATCTTCTTCTTCTTCTTCTTCTTCTTCTTCTTCTTCTTCTTCTTCTTCTTCTTCTGAATTGACATCATCAGATCATTTGATTTCACAATTAAGTCTAAATGATGCCAAAGAAATACTTTGTGAACACTTAAAAAACCAAGAAAAACAATTGTTTTCCAGTTTTAAAACAGTTGAATCGTGGAAAGATTATTTTGAGAAATATAAAGGAACAACTGAAAAAGAGGTTAAAGTACGAGACGAGGAGATTAAAAGAAGTCATCAAGAAATTGAGTATCTGAAAAAAATTATTGCTAGATTGGAAATAGAAAATAACAATTTGAAAAATTACAATGTAATTGGTAATTACAATTAATTATAATGATAATGATGATCATGGTAATGATAATATTAAAATTAAATTAAAATACGAAGCTGGAGATATTATTATATGATGTTAGTTGATTATAAAAAAACCAAATTGCAATACACAGTGAATCTCGATTTAGCGGACCTCGATTTAGCGGATAATAAACCTTAATAAAAACCTTCTCGATATATCGGATATCTCGGTTTAACGGATTTTTGGGATAATTGCCCAAACTAAATCGAGATTCACCGTGTTGCAAATTTTTATTGGATCCAAATATTTTGTATGAAATCCGACTGCGCCTCTCTATGAAAATAGTTAATTTTAGAAATTCTCCACATTTGGCCTTTTTTTTATATAAATTATTTAAGAATTAAATTAATCAAATTAAAGATGGAAAGTCGACAAACCATTACAAAAAATTCAAATTTCCAAATTATACAAATAATTCTTTCGTACCTCAATTCATCGAAACTAGTTCATATCAAAAACTTTATTTTCATTCTAGTAATATATAATTATGGAGATATTTTATTAAGAAAACTTTTGATTCAAGGTCCTAGCCGTACTTTGTTTGATTTCTATCGAAAAATTACTGGTGTTTTATTGAAAGCGGCAAAGAAAGCTCCGGGAGCTGGAAACAAAATACAAGCCGAACTTGATAAAACTATTAAAGAATTAGAAGAAAAAATTGCTCCTAAGAAACCGGGCGAACCCAGATATTTGTCATTACCAGATATTGGATTTGATCCAAAGAAATTAAAGCAAGAATTAAAAAGGTTTTTACATATAACATGCAAATAAAAAAATAAAAATATTCTCTTAAAAATCATGATGATAATTATGATTGCTTGTTTAATAGGTATCAGGAAATGTCATCACATGTAAGATGGAAGGATGGGCGTGTGTCAGGAGCAATATATCATGGTGGACAAGAATTGTCAAAGTTGACATCTGAAGCATATTCAATGTTTTCTGTTAGCAACCAATTACACCCCGATGTATTTCCCGGAGTACGTAAAATGGATGCTGAAGTAGTCGCTATGGTATTAAACATGTATAATGCACCACCAGAAGCAGCTGGTACAACCACATCTGGAGGTACTGAAAGCATATTAATGGCATGTAAAGCTTATAGAGATTGGGCAAGAGAAGTAAAAGGAATTACAAGCCCTGAAATGTAAAAAAATCAAAAATTATTTAAATTATTTGTTTTTTTAAAACATATATTGATTGATTTATTGATCCATTTTTAATATAATAGTGTTGTTCCGGATACAATTCATGCAGCTTTTGATAAAGCAGCTTCATATTTCAATATTAAACTTGTACACATACCAATTGATCATATAACATGTAGAGTAGATATTAAAGCACTTGGTAGAGCAATCAATAAAAATACAATAATGGTAAGGCATTAATATTAACATTAGGATTACTACTATTGGCCGACAAAGTTTATAATTAATTAATCGATCAATCAATCAATTAAATTGTAAAAAAGATTGCAGGATCAGCACCAAATTTTCCTCATGGAATTATGGATGACATTCCTTCATTAGCGTCAATAGCAAAAAAATATGATATTGGAATGCATGTAGATTGTTGTTTAGGAAGTTTTCTGGTGCCATTTTTAGAAGAGGCAGGATTTCCAGCTCAACCTTTTGATTTTAGAATCGATGGAGTAACTTCGATTTCATGTGATACTCACAAGGTATTATCACTATTAATTTTTTTGAATAGATAGATTCTTTCGCATTTAATTTTTTAAAAAAGCAACCATGAAACTTAATTAAAAAAACTATTTTTTTTTAAAAAAATTATATAATAAAATATTTTTATATTTATAGTATGGATTTGCACCAAAAGGTTCTTCAGTAATTATGTATCGATCAAAGAAACTTCGTAAATTTCAATATTTCTTTGCACCCGACTGGACGGGTGGGATTTATTGTTCGCCTTCAATTGCAGGTTCACGGTAAAATCTAATATTTCTAATATATTTATATAATTATAATATCATTATAATCATAATTGTCATTTTTTTTATAGTCCGGGAGCATTGATTGCGGGATGTTGGGCTGCATTGATGAGTATAGGTAAATACGGTTATATCGATGCAACTAAAAAAATTGTAGGATGTGCTAAAAAAATTGAAGCTGGGTATGTGTTATATTTACATTAATATTTATTCTATGAAAACCAAATTTAGTCAATCAATTAATACATGCGTGATTAATGGACACATCATCATATATATGTAGTATACGTAAATCAAAAGATCTTTTCGTTTATGGAAAACCACTTGTATCAGTTGTAGCATTTGGATCTAAGACATTGAACGTTTACGAGATTAATGATCAAATGTCAAAGAAAGGCTGGAATCTTAACGCATTACAAAATCCACCAGCAGTACATATCGCTTGTACGCTATTAACTGTACCTCACGCAGAACAATTTTTAAATGACCTTGAAGATTCAATCAACGAAATTAAATCTACCACGAATAATAATAAAAAATTATCGGGAACTGCTGCCATTTATGGAATGGCTGCTAGTTTGCCCGATGGTTCAATTGTTAATGAGGTTGCTTGTGGTTTTTTGGATGCTTTGTATTCTGCTTAAAGAGGAAGAAAAAAAATCATGTGTATTTAATAATAAAAGTAATAATAATTAATAATTATTAAAGTTTTTGTTATTTTATTTTTTTCATTTTTTTCATTTTTTTTTTTTTTTTTATTTAAAATAACTTAAAAAAATAAAACATATTAATATATAAAAAAAAAATCGAAGTTATTTAAAAGAGAAAATTCATAAAAAAATAATTTACATGAATTTTAAATTTTTAAAATCAATATTTTTTTATTTTAATTTTCACCAAATATCATAAAAAAATAATAATAAAATTTTTATTTTATTTTCCTTTTATAATATCATAAGAACTTTATTTATAATTGTCATGATCATAATTATCACCATTATTCTAATTGACTAATTCCTAGTAATAAACGTCAAAGCTAAATAAAATTCACTTAATTAACTTAAAAAATTGGTTTATTAGTCATGCGGTGACATAATACTATTAAGAGAATGCTGATTACTATTAGTAGAAGTATTGCTGGGTGGAGGTGGAGGAGAATTAGCCCTATTTGATTCATTAACATGGTGATGATGTTGTTGCGATGATGGAGACACTAATGGAGGAGGGGATGAACGTTGTGTAGACGGAGGTGGTAATTGTGAAAGTGATGAAGGTGGGGGTGGAGAACTAGATACTCTTAAATCACCACTACCACTACGATGATGATGATGATTATGATGATGATTAAGATGATGGTTTGTGTTATTATTATTATTGTTATTATTATTATTGTTGTTGTTGTTATTATTATTATTATTACTACTAGAAGAAGAGCTTTGTTGTGATGGTTGAGTTGGTGAAGGGCTTGGTGAATTTGATCTGTTTGGTTCACGTATATGAGGAGACGAAGATCCCATTGAAGAAGTAGTATTGGAAGCAGTAGTAGGAGGTGGCAAATTTTGTTGTTGTTGTTGAGATTGTGGGGGATGTGGAGGCGGAGATATAGATCTGGCAGTGTCACGAATATGATGATGATGCTGATGATGCTGCTGATGATGCGATGAAGATGATGGAGACACCAATGAAGGAGATGATGGTCCTTGTATTGGAGGCGGCAATTGTGGTGGTGGTGGAGAATTAGATCTTGTTGAGTCACGAATATGATGAGTTGATATTGGAGGTATTAACGAAGGAGTGGGTTGAGTTGGTGTTGGTGAAAGGGCTAAAGGTGGTGGTGTATTAGATCTTGTTGAATCATGAATATGATGATGGTGATGATGATTTGATGAAGGTTGTTGTGGTGTTAGTGGATTGGTATTATTAGAATTAGTAACATTGTTGGAAGAATTAGTATTCAAAGTAAGTTGTGTTGAAGGTGGAGATAATCCATAATGACTGGTTGGACTTCTTCTGCTGCTACTGTTGTTATTATTATTGTTGCTGTTGCTGTTGTTGTTGTTGTTATTAAGGTTACTGGCATTCATCGGTGGCAATTTACGAGACATATCACGCTGGCTAGGACCAACATCATGTAAAGACATAGGATGTTGTGAGATATTATTGTTATTATTGGAAGACGAAGAAGGTGGCGGTGGTGGCGGTGGTTGTTGTCTATTTCCATAACTCGACATTAAAGTTGAAGATGAGGAGCTAGAACCTAATAATGGTCCGGGATTATTTCCAAACATTGAATTAAAATTTGTTTGTTGTTGAAAAGCCTGAGGGTTTATATCCTGAGGAATCGGCGCAGTTGTTTGGCCACCTTGAGTTTGTTGATTTCTAAGCATCTGTAATCTTTGTTTTATATGAGGGTTTGTTGGATCTAATTCAGCAGCTCGCTGATATGCATCCAACGCATCATTTACTTGATTGTTGCACGATTCGTATAATGTGCCAAGATCGTACCATACTTCACTAATGTATGGATTTAAACGAATTGCTCGACTATAAGCATCCAACGCGTCACGATACTTTAAAAAAACCCCCATTCGTAAATTAAAGATCCAAGAAAATTTATCAATTTTAATAAATAATAAATATTTATACTTACTTGATTTATTTGATAGTATAAAACACCAATAGAACACCAAAATGTTGGATTTCTTCCATCACGAAAACTAAAGTCGTTATCAATGTATATATAATCAATTTGAAATATATTTAATGACAGTAGTAGTAGTAGTAATAATGATGATGATGAATACTTACACTGCTTGTTGGTAAGCCTCGTACGCTCTGCCGTATTTTTGTTGAGCCATGTAGCAACGTCCAAGGAAATACCAAGCTTGTGCATCATTGCCATCTACAATTAAAAATAAACAATTACTAATCAATCAATGCCAAATTTTCCAGGTCTATCTCATTTTGACTTAAATGTAATAAATAAATAACCTGACTCTAAAGATCTAGTTAAATAAGTGATTGCCATATCTTGGTCCCTGAAAGGACTTTGTTGATGATGTAGCCAACCAAGTTGTTGTAATACTTTTGCGTGGGTAGGATTATCTATTAGAACGCGTTCGTAAGCTTCTTTGGCAGTAGTAAACTTTTTTTTTAATTTAAAGATTTTGTTTGATTAATAATATATCTAATATATGTGCATGTATGTAATACTAGATATAGCTATGATTGCTTGCGTGCCAAGGACTCACGTTTTTTTGTTGTTCATACACATGTCCGATTTGAAACCAAATATCAACTTCTGTCAAAGGTCTTGGCGGATTATTTAAAATATATTTGAAACACTATAAAAGCGGTGCAATGAACATCAATTCACGTGCTCAATAAATAAGTAAAAAAGCTCTTATAAATAAACAATATTTTACTTCTAAACTTTGTTCGTATTTTAGTTGTTGTTTATAAATGATCCCCAATCTAAAATAGATTTCGTTTGCTTTTTCAAATTTAGAATCCATTCTTATGACTTGAGAAAAAGCTTCTTCGGCGTGATCAAGTGAACCATAACGGTCATAAAGTATTCCTATCCCATACCAGAGTTTAGGTTCCTAATTATACAAATAGCAAAATATAATTAATATTTTTGTTATTATCATGCAAAATAGAAAGGTTGTTAAATCAAAGGTTGAAAAGATTATAATTAAGATAACCTTAGGATTGGGTAAATGATACAATGCTTGTTGATATGCACCATATGCCTTTTGTAACTCATCCATCATCAAATAGCAGTGACCTTTATATTATTATAACATGTAATATTATATGATCGTGCCACACGTTTGTACAACATATGTATTTAATATAATAAAAAATACCTAAAGATCCCCAAATATCACCATTCCTTGCATCAATATTTAAAATTCTTTGAAAATACTCAATAGCCTTTTAACCAATAAATGTAAATTATTTAATTAATAAATAGATTTATAAAATATGAATACTTATATTTGATGCATATCTCTTTAACGTATAAATATTATACATGTAATATAAATTCATTTTACCCTTGGAAACTGTTCTCTTCCCCGACAAAGTGAGGCAATACCCTGTAAAGCAGTAATAGAATAAGCATTATGTCGCAAGGCTGATTCATACGCACTCATTGCTCTATCATATTCTTGCAACAATTCGGCAGCAGCACCTAAAGAAAAATTTAGACCCTATTTATTTATCACTTTAAACAAAAAAAGCCATAATAATGATACGTTTCAAACGCTTTTTTAAAGTGTGGTTTATTATATTTACCCATCGCAAGCCATGCTGATTCATTTAATTGATTTAACTTTTGAATACAAGGCAATGAATTGTTGTTAGACATTTATAAATACTCGAGATCTTTTGCAAAATTAATATGTTTTATTTATACTGTTTTGAAAATATTTGATATAAAGCAACTATCGATTGCGGTTAATGATAACGGTTATTGACCGGCAGCAGCTATTAACACTAAAGAAACTGACAAAAAGATTTATTAACGGCAAGAAAAAAAAATATATTATGTACAAGAGAAAGGGTGTAGTATATGTATAAAATGAATAAAGGGGTAATATGTAAAAAAAAAATTTTTTGAAATTTTATTAAAAATTTGGGAAATTTTACCAGTAACAATTGATTGCTACAAAGTTTGCTTATCAAAAAAGTTCATGCGTGCGTCACCCACCACCGCTAGTTTATTTTCAAAAAAAGATAAAAAAAAACGAAGATGATGGTGATTTAAGAGATTTTTATTCCAAGTTATCACAAAAAAAATCAAATTTTATTGGATTATTATTATGCAAAAGAACGATTTTGATACTAATACTATTACTATCATCATCATGAAGCAATAAAAATAGAAATTTCAGGGGCCAAAATTGCTAGACATTATTATTATTGGGGTTTACTACCATATTTCGACTAAATCAATAATAATAATAACTTTTTCAAGTCGATTATTTTTTCTTGATTTCATTAATAATGAAGCAATGACATGATACATGATGGCAAACCGAGTCAAAATAAAATCTTTAGCTTTGGATGAATCTAAATTGGTTATCCTATTTCCGAGGAGGTTAATCGATGATTAATATTAAGATCTAAGTTAGTTATCAATGGGCAGCCTTCTACATCAAGCGAATCTAAATGTGAACAATCAATCTTTTGCTTTAATTTTGCAATGAATAAATATAATTTGAGCCTCCAGCTACTTAAACTCATGACAGCAGGAAAATTGCAAGATCCCCAACTCTGGCGCAAAACTTTTTTCAATAGGAGTAAAGGAGGCAGTCAAAACATCTAATATTGGACATTAGCCAAGATTTAGAAAGTTTATTTCAGTATAATTAAACTGCAAGGATTTTTAACTTGGGATAATTTGTTGCATCAAGACTTAAACACAATCTTACAATTTAGGAAAACTGTTTCAACCTGGTCAATACTGACAAAGTCATTACCTCGAATATTCAAGACTTCTCGCAAATCAAGATGTTCTTCAAGATTTTTCTGAACGAAATTCAATTTGGTAATATTTGCGCTTTTTTTTTTTCATAGGATCATGTTCCTATTGACTAAGCAAATCGTTCAGCAGCATCTTTTTTCTCTTTGATATTACCCGTGTTATTTTGATCACTATCATTTTTAGATGGTGGTTGAGACGGTTTGTTATATTCTTCAAAAATGTCAAACACTTTTTCAACCTTGAAGTAGTAATGAAAACTATCATTACCATTTAAAACATATTGGCAAGGTTAACGGGACTGTTGAACGAACCAGATTCTTATAATGTAGAAATAAAAATAAAGGCGAGAAATTTTTAAAGCTCATTCAAATATTTTAAAAGCAGTGTCCTCATATTTTAATGCAGCGTTATCAATAATTGGACTAAGGAAAGATCTAAGAATCATAACAATGATGATGGAGTTCTTTTGTCGTAAGCAATTAACTTTTTTAATTGTTGAATAATTTGATTATTGTTTTATTATTCATCTACCCGAAAAACAAATAATTTTCTTTATTTTTATATAAGGTATATACATATATATATATATGTGTGTACAATGGAGTTATCAATAGAACATCTAAATGCAAATGAAATTTTGATGAATGAATTGATGACTTGCAAGAATAGTATATTACAGATGAAGGATGAATCAAGAAAATTTTCATCAAATAATCGTTTATCATTTAGTATTCTTTATGATTATTTTAAGGGAATGATTTATGGAAAGCAGAGAATTAATTACAAATTCTCTTGTTGTTAATAATATTGAAAAAGATGAGGAGTAAGAAGAAAAAAAGAGAATATTGTATTAATTGAAAAATCATTACTTTTATATTCACACCATATTAAAGAAAAGATGATTGGAATTAAAAAAGAAATTGTTATGTTATCAACGGGGGAATAGAACAAATCAAAGAAGAAGAAAATAATAATAAGATTTTATTTGAAAAGTTCAACCATATAAAGAATTACTTGATAAAGAAACTATGAAAAGCTTCTTCAATATCATCTTAATGATGAATGGCAACAAAAAATTTATCATTGTCATTTCCTCAACAACAACAAAATGGTCAAAGAAAACTCATAAACTTTTAGATTGATGAAATATAAAAACATATCATATAAATTTGAATTGATGGCTTGTGGAAACCATGAGTTTTCGAAGAAACATGTCATAATGATTTTTTTTAAAGAAATTAAGGAAACACATGAGTTGGTTAGAGGTTATAATCCTGCTTGTTGGAATTTAAAGGAAAAATCGCCATACGATTATTATTGGGTTGAAACAAATAGAGTTTTATTTTTAAAAGTGTAAGTAATAAATAATAATATCATTAATAATAAAATCGATCAATGATAATTTAAGTATCCCCAAAGAGTAGTACGTCATAATAGTGAAAAGTTTCATGATGTCTTCTGTCACTATTTTCATTTTATCAAAAAGATTTAAACATTGATGATGAAGAATGATTGATGAAATCTATAAATTATATCTAAAAGATATAGTACTTATAAAATAAATAAATATGATATAATAAATAAACGTGAATAAATGTTGAATAAAGATGATGAATAAATAACGAGTAATAATAAATGATAAATCTCACTACCACCATCAACATCGCCCTCAAATATATAAGCAAAGGCTTTTTGAGGACAAATAAAAACCCAATGCTTTCTTTATAGCCCATGGGTTGAGAAATATCTTTAATACTAATTCCTGCAAACCCAATTTCCATTATTCTTAAAGCACAGCATGTTATATTAATAGTTGATATTTGCAAACTGCTTTTACATTCACATTCACTGGTAACACGCGTGAATCATTACTATAACAAAGCTTGAAGCCTCTAAGCCAGGGCAAATATCCACTGCAAGACTAGCCGGTGTAGTATCTCCTACAATGCCTCCACGCCAATTGTGGCACAAAACTTAGATTCACCAACGTTGTTGCAAAACACGTAAAAGCACATTTATCGCAACAAAATAACTGTTTGTCAGGTATAGTGCTAGTAATTTAACCACAGTGTTATGAAAACCTACCATCTTAACATAAACATGTACTAAAATCCGGACCTCCTTGCACCGAGAAGGAATAAAGCGAAATAAAAAGGAATAAAACCAAAACTTTCTTTTTTGTATAATGGGAGTGGATTCCATGTATGAAATTATTTTAGCTAAATATAAAGCTACCAAGAAATTAGGCAAGAAAGTGAAAAGGATTAAAGATAAAGGTAAGAAATGTATTTTCTTTTTAGAAAGGATGATAAACAAACCCTTCTTTCTTCAGTGAGTAGCTATTTTTAGAAAAATAAGAAAAAAAGATTTCTTTGGAAGAAACTAGTGCAAATTTAAGAGATAAGAACCAATTATTTAGTTTATTACGGCCGAAAAATAAGCAATTTGTAAGAAAATATTGTGAGTTCCAAATTTTCAGATGTGAAAGTTTTGATTCTTTTATATACACAGGAAAAAAAAAAAAATCAAATACTAATGACAAATGAATGAATTTAATTGATTTCAATATTATTATTATAATTAACTATTTAGAGAGAGGGTCAAAAGAATTTCATGTCATAAAGTTCTTTTTTTCGGGTTCATATTCTCTTTTTTTTTTTTTCACTCCACCTTCAATCCTTCCCTTCTTATATAAAATTCCTTTAATATTTCTAATTGATTTAATTAGTTTCACGAAGCTTGAAGCATTATTTCAAATCACCGATCATCAAATCAATAGCATATTTCAGTGTTGATATTTGAGTGTTTTGGCGATTTTGCTGCTTGGCCATTTTGACCATTTTTATTTGTTAATTTACTTATTTGGTTATATATTGTTATCGATGATCTGAGCCAATTAATGAACCACTTTATTAATGTTAGTATATCCAAAAGCTATTCAACAACCAAATTAATAAATTATTATAAAATATAAAGCAACCTATATACTTGAGGTACTACATAAAATCATAATAATATCGAAAACCAGTTCAATAATTTTATTTATTAATAACCTTTATGCTTGGCCATAGATAACGATACAGTTTTATCTTAAATATATCTAAAATAAGACAATAATAATAATAATAATTTTTCTTTTATCAAATAATTGATAATTGTTGCCTAGTTCGTGGTTCATTTCTCAAGTAAACAGAATGACGTGCAGAAGGCTTATAATTATTCACTCCATCTTCACGAAATAACTACAATTAGAATCCAAATCTGTATCTCTCCAACTTACCTCACTATCGTTATCATTATCACTTTTTATTACTTGATTAGTTATCGCTTTCATTAATCACTTTCATTAATTGGTTCATCATCACTTTCATTACTTGATTCGTTATCATTTAATTATCATAAAGAATAACTTTTAAATAATATTTTTTTCCTCCTCAAAAGCAGGTTATTTAAATGGTTTTTCCTTTTTGTAAGTGGCGGCATACAAAGAAGGAATAAATGATCTAAATTTAATTACTGCGTGTAACATTGGTAAAATTCAGGTCAATCACATTTTCGTGTCACGATCTCCTTCCAAAACCCGCAAGTCGTGCGACTTTTGTGCAGGTTTTTGCCGATTGTCTAGCCGTGCCTGGTTTTTTTGGTTTTTGGAGCGATCAATGTTTTCATCATATTTTAGCAAAAATTTGTTGTACGGCAAATGTTTTATTTATAAACAAGCTCACAACTGAGAACACAATGCGAGCTTTTGCTTTTCGTGATACAAATCACGCACACTGTTCTACGCGAGAACAAAACTTCATTTATTTTTTAAAGTTGGGTTTGGGATGCATCTTCTTCATCGCAAAGAACAAAAAAATGACATTACTCGGGTCAAGACAGTAGTCTATTTTATTAAATCAAAAACATATAAATAGGACAGCCGTCCTCACATTTTTTTTTTTTTTGAAAAACTTTGAATATTTTCATGAAACAAAATCGGATCTTAATCTTTATTATCATCTCAAAAAATGATGATTCATTGTTGTTGTTTGCTACTTGTTGTTATAATAATAATGCTTTCTCATAATTGATGGATCTTCATATATTATATAGGCGGGTTTGATCGAAGTAAGTGTTAAAGTCGAGATCTATGAAGCTGTTTGTAAAATATATTTAATGATCGCTTTATCAATTATTAAATAACCATATAGGCAGGTTTGATCGAAGTAAGTGTTAGACAAGATCTATAAAGCTTGCAAAACGAATGTTTGTCAATTATTCAATAATCATATAGGCAGGTATGATCGAAGTAAGTGTTAAAATCGGGATTTACGAAGCTGTTTGTAAAATATATTTAATGAACGCTTTATCAATTATTAAATAATCATATAGGTGGGTTTGTTCAAAGTAAGTGTTAGTCAAGATCTGTGAAGCTTGCAAAACAAATATTTATCAATTATTCAATAATAATATAAATGGGTTTAATTGAAGTAAGTGTTAAAGTCAAGGTCTATGAACTTGTAAATTGAATTTGCAAATTGAACGTTTTATCAATTATTCAACAATGATATGGGCGAGTTTGGTCAAAATAAGTGTTAAAGTCAAGATTTACGAAGCTTGCAATCCAGCTTTGAAAAATGAATGTATAAGCGTGATCAAAGCATTCAATTCAATTGTCAATTTAATTAAACACACGACGCTTTATTTTTAGTAATAATAATCAATTCAATTGCCAATTAATTAAGAAGTAACCGAATAATAAATTCAATTATAAAAATGCGTAATGCTTTTCTTAAAATTAAACAAATCAATGAATCCAAAAAAAACAGATAAATGATAATTCGTAAATTGTAAAATGTTTTTTAGCATTTTTAGTAATAGACAAATAATTCAATTGTCAATTACAATTTTCTTGGATCATTGAAACGAGATTTGTTGCAAATCGACGATTTTAAGTTTCTCCAGTATTAAATCACCTCTTTCTCCCTTCAAAGGATAATCACCAGCACTCTTTCATAATGTTGAATAGGCTAGTTAGTGAAGGAATTATTCTCTTGTTTTCTCCACCAGCGCCAGAATGAAAATGTTCATTTTTAATTAAGATCTTTTTTTTCACTGATATCTAAATTAGAAATCAATTGGTCTTCAAAGCACCTTTATTCTTGTTTTGATTCTTGGTAGATTTGCCATATTTGTTGGTTGGGGATCCTTTTGTGTCATATATTTGTCTAATAATTCGACATTAATCGCATTGCCAGATTGTTACTAATACTAATATGAAGTTTTCGGTAATCTTGCTACTTCGCTACCAAATCAGGGAATATTTGTAATTCATCATTGTTTGTCATTCTAATTATATTTTCACAGTTTTTTTCCACGACAAGAAAATGAAACCATTTTGTCATAATTCTTGAAATACACAGAACAATTAAAAAATAAAATTACAACATAAATTTCATTAACAATTATTTGCAATCAACCCATTTATGTAATTTTTGTAATTACCAAAGTGCTTACGGGTGTACCTTCATTATTTTCCATCTTCTACTTTTATTATGACAAAGTCTTGCTTTTCCCAATACTTTCGAATAACTACAAACCCCAAAATATTTTATCAATAACTAAACATGGTTTTTCTTCTTCTTTGTTAGAATCAAGGCTCATCACCATTTAAAAGTTCAATATTTTCTGGATGAATCAAGTAGAATATCAATGTCATTGCATTCATGATAATAATAAAGAAAAGATATAACTTTGGATGAATATTTATGTTTTATTAATTAAAATTACATAGGTAAAATCAACAAATCGTACATTTATCAAGTACTTTAAGCAATTCATTGAGAGAACCGATTAAGAATTTTGAATGGATTTATGATATAAAAAAGAGGAGCTGTGTTAAACAATCCTTTTATAATTTTATTGGTTGGTTGGTTTTCTTTTGATACGTCGGAGTATAGAATTGATCTTTGATAGATGCGGTAAAACAATTAATTTTGGAGTGATAAGTGTACAAGTATTTGATGATATAGCCAACCAATTCGCCTTTTCAAACGCCAAAGATTCTAAGATATAAAAAGGTTGTGTTTTTTAAAATAAAATTATTATTTATTTTTCTCGTTTATCGGCTTTAAACTAAATTCGCGTACATCATTAATGATCGATTATTAATTAGTAAAATCTTAATAGAATATATCTAATAATAATTAACACAAGTGTATAACTGTACCATTTTATAATGTGAAGGCTTATATTCCATAAAACTCGTATTTGTAGCAAACATCATTAATTATATAGTTACTTTTACTAGATGAGAAATACAGCAAAGCAAGCTTCTCTCGTCTTACAATTGATGTAGTAAGCATAAATAACAGAACATCCGTCTGTCACAGCAACATTCAAGAAGGATTGTTTCTTAATATTTAGTCAGATGATTAATATGTGTGATAAATGGAGACATCGAATATAATAATTTATTTATACATTAATTTCTTCTTCAGCTCAAATAATTAATCATTGAATAGTTTTCAAGGTTGCATCTCTCAAAATATTTCATGGTTAAATGGTCCATTCTTTGTATCTGTTAACTATCATCGTCGTTTTCAGTTTGTTGTTGTTATAATAATAAATTAAATAAGTATGGGTTTTGGTAATTAGAGAATTCGTTTGTTCACAATCTCCTATTACTATCATCCTTTACTCCACCTTAATGTTGTTTGACAAAATGCTACCAAGGTTGTAAAACTATTATGTCAAATTAAATCAAAAATGATGCAAGTAAAATTGCTTTAAATGCTAATAATAAAACATAAAAACTCACAAAAAAAATTTATAAATATGTATTCCTTTTGTTTCATCAGTTGTTCACAAGGAGCCAAGCCTTTCTTTTACTGAATACAATTCAGTTCCCACACACTCACCTACTACTAAACTCGAACATTTATTATTATATTAACATTAATAACGTGATACATAATCGGGGTAGATAAAATCATCGGTATTTTATGCTCCAGGGTCAACTAATTTTAGTGTATAATTTACGCAAAAGCTTTTTGTATAATATCAACAATATTGATCAAGTTACTTTGCAATTGGAAACCTTTAATTTTCCATTTTTATATTTATCCTTCCTTATTGCAATGATCAACGGAGAGTAATTTCTGGTTCTCGCAGGGGAAAATTAACGTAAAAATAAAATGATTAATAACGTAATTTGCTTTAGTGAGTAAGCAAAGGTTAAGACTAAAGTTGGTTAGCTAGTGGGTGTTAATAAAGTATTGTACAAAGGTTAATCGTAGTATTATTATAATTGTAAATGCTAGTCTGTTAAACAAGCTACTTAAGCTTTTTTTGCAAGTAAAACCAAAGCGAGTTTGCAACCAGCCAATAAATGTAAATGAATAAATTGATCACAAGTGAATAAAAGGAACTTTATAGGATCCTTGAGCTTTGTAAAAGGCATCTTTATTTATTTACAATTATCTGGTGCCATTGAGTGTGTGCTCACGGACTCGTCAGATACAAAAGTGAGTAAATTTGTAAACTGATTAATTGACAAGCACCGAATTATTTGCAAGAGTAACCAAAAGTTAAGCCATAGTTGTTAATCAACCAGATGATACCACAATTTAACAAGAGTCAAAGATTTATTATTTCAAAACATTATTATAATTTAGCTTTAAGAAACAAGATAATAAAATAAAAAGATAAATAAAAAGATAATGAATAAATTTATAGTGGAGATTAAATTAGTCATTCGTCTATTCTTTTCTTTTACTATTGTTACTAGAATTTAATGTTTATTGATTAATTAATTAATATTGTTAGTAATGGAT